AGATGATAAAATGCTTCCTAAATTATGATGACACACAAATGCCAAACATGATTATTGTAGAGCACCCAGTGAAACTCGACTCTGGCCTGTCTTTCCTTCACACAGACCAGAGAGGAACGTCCTGCTGGACACCCACGGTGAACGCCTGGCTGCGGCTTTGTGCACCAACCCCAATCTGCTGGAGCTGGCTCTGTACCACTACGCCCTGGGAAGCCGGGCTGTGAAGCTACTCTGCCAGGGCCTCAGACACCCCAGCTGCAAACTCCAGAACCTCAGGTGAGTCCAGGCGGGCCTGTGAGTTTCTGTTGGTCCCCACACTGCCCCTCATGGGGCTCAGTCACAAAGGATGTACCCGCCGTGGGATGGTTTATTGTTTGCTAGGGCTGCTATAACAAAGTACCACAGACTGAGTGACTTGGACAATGAAAATTTATTTTCTCACAGTTCTGAGGGCTAGAAGTCCAAGATCAAGGCATTGGCAAGGTTGGTTTCTTCTGAAGCCTCTGTCCTTTGCTGGCAGATGGACACCTTGTCCCTGGGCGTTCACAGGGCCGTCCCTCCATGCATGTCTGCATTCAAATTTCCTCTTTGTGTAAATCATACTGAATTAGGGCTCATCCTTCGGACCTCATTTTACCTTAATTACCCCTTTAAAGATCCTATCTCCAGATACAGTCACATCTGAGGTACTGAGTATCAAGACTTCGATATATGAATTTTGGGGAGTGGGGGACATGATTCAGGTGGTAGCAGATGGGGATCAATAGATGTTCAAGCATTATCATCTCTCATTTACCTCGTTTTTGTCTCCTCCTTCCAGTCTTCCCATCTCCAACTAGTCTCCTCCCATCTGATGATTGCTACTAGATCTAAAAAGTTGTGGTTTTTTTTTTTGGTTGTCTCAGACAGGTAATGGGCTGACATTGTTACAAGGTTTGAGAGGAGCATCCCCCACATGAGCATGAAAACCCAGTCATGGTGCTTATGAATCACAAAAGGATCCAAATTTTAGAAGTTTTAAGTCTACTCAGGATCTTCTCTTTAAACCGTTGCTACAGTGGGTTTTTTTTTAAGTTTTTTTAAGTGATTCAAGTCGAAGGGACATGGACTGCCACCTATCAAGGCAGGAGTATCAAAAAAAAAAATTGTGAACAATGTTTAAGAGCCACCAGACTCCTAAAACTCAGTTTCCTCCTTTATGTAATGGAGATCTTTTTACCCTGAACGAGGTGAAATGACCCTGTGTAGAGTATACAAAAATGCCTAGTCGATAGCAGTCATTCAGGAATCATTAGTGTTTTTTTCTTGTACTCCAAGGAACATTCTATGATTCACTTTCTGTAGAGTGGAATCTCAGAATGCATGCATTTGAAGGATATGTGTTTACTACATGTGTGAGAGAGTGAGACAGAGACAGACAAAAGAGGTGAGGAAAAGAGGAGAAAAAGAAAGAAAGCTGGACATAATGGCATACTCCTGTAGTCCCAGCAACTCATTTCAGAAGACTTTATGGGAGGATGTCCCAGAAAGGAAAATAAAAGTACCCTGCCACTCCAGGTACCTGGAGGAAAGAAAAGGAGCAAAAAAATACTTACATACTTTCTGGTGGTGAGCTTTTAAGGCACAGTGTCCCTGCCCACCAGCAAATGTGGCCCAGTGAGCACCTTGGGATCTGCTCCAAAATTCATACCTCCTCCTTTTTGTAGTGATGGAGAACAAGAGAAAGTGGAGAAAAGGGAAAGAAATGGGTCTTGAATTTCTCTCTTAAGGGCAACCTCTGTGAATGTATTTCATTGACTACAAAGCATCAAAACATTTTATGTTGTTCTTGTTGCTTTTTAAATTTTTTTTAATTTGAAAGATAAAATTATATGTATTTGTAATGTATAACATGATGTTTTGAAATATATATACATTGTCAAATGGCTAAATCTAGCTAATCAACATACACATTGTCCCACAAAGTTACCATTTTTGTGGTGAGAACACTTAAAAGCTACAATCTTAGCAATTTTCAAGAATACAATATATTGTTATTTCATTGCTTTTTAAAAATTGAAATATAATTCATATGCCAAAAAATGTGCCCTTTTAAAGCATATAATTCAATGATTTTAGTATATTCACATGGTTGTGTAAACATCACTATTATCTAATTCCATAACATTTTCATCACTCCAAAAGGAAACCCTATACCCATTAGTATTCTCTCCCCACTCCCTCTCTGATCAGTCCCTGGCAACCCTAATCTCCTTTCTTTTACTTTAGAAAGAAGGTACAAATAGGTGTAGCCTAAAAGAGGGAGAGAGAGAGAAAGGTAAGGGGAAAAAATCTACAAAACTACCACAAAGGAAGTGACCTAGCTCATTTTCCTTTCTTCCGTTGTAGGCTGAAGAGGTGCCGCATCTCCAGCTCTGCCTGCCAGGACCTTGCAGCCACTCTTATAGCCAATAAGCATTTAATAAGGATGGATCTAAGCGGCAACAACCTCGGACTTCCAGGCATGAAACTACTTTGTGAGGGGCTCCAACATCCCAAGTGCAGGCTGCAGATGATCCAGTGAGTCTCCATCCCTGGGAAGAAGTTCCTAATCTGTGTGATCTCTCCAGGCAAATTCGTTGTCTCCTGGGGCTTGAAATACCCCCCAAATGCTGATGATACCCAGATCTCTATCTGTAAATCAGGGCTTACCCTCAATCCCATGACTTAGACTTCTGTCCTGCCCTGGTTTCTGTGCACTTTTGAGGGCCTCTTTCTGACCTCCTCTGACCCCGCTCATGTTCACATGGTGAGGGGTCCCTTGGGCCACATGGCCATCCAGAACCCATAACCTCCTTACTGACTCTGTCCTGAGGAATCAGGAACCCAGAGCTCCCTGATCAAAGAGCCTTTAGTTGTGCAGTCCCCTTTTCCCACAATGCCACCCTCATCCTATTCCTCTGAGTGAATTCCTACTCAACTTTTGAGAACCACCTCCAACCCTCCCAGAGCCTTCTCTAGCTATACACCCTGTTTGCCAAAGCTGAGCTAGGCGGCACCTCCACCATGATGGTTTTAATAAACAGCAGCTCATGTTTACTGGACACTCACTATGTGCCAGGCCCCATTCCACATCCTTTGTTTAGCAAATTATTTAATCCTTGCAACAACCTTATGAAGGAGGTACTATTATTATCCTTATTGCATAGACAATGAACCTAAGACACAACTGCACATGACACATAAAACTGAGATCTGGCAAATCTTGCTTGAAGTCACAGGGTGAGGGAGGTGGATACAGTGCAGTCGTTGAACTCTAGAGACCCCACCCTGAACTTCTGCACTCTATCGACTTGATGGTACCACACTAGACTTTATTTTATTATTTTTTTAATTTTAAGACTAGTCAAGTGCAATAGTGAGAAAGGGGAAGGAGTAGAACAAGGAGTTTGATCTGTAACTGACTGTGAACAATCAATCGAGATAACCAGCCACCACGCTAGATTTTAATTGCTTACCTGTTTGTCTTATGAGACAGAATGCTCCTTGTTGCAAATGACCAAGTCTTGCTTATCTCTGTAGCACTAGTGACATGTGTAGGTTTGTGTTGGGTGATTAAACGGGCCAAGGCACAAGCAATAAGGATATAGAAAAGCAAGATGGCGCCTGCTTCTACATCTCTTTCGTCCCAAGGTTGAGGAAGTGTCGGCTGGAGTCTGCGGCCTGCCAGGACATCGCTTCAGTGCTCAGCTCCAACCGACACCTGATAGAATTGGACCTCACAGGAAATGCTCTGGAGGATTCGGGCCTGAGGTGGTTGTGCCAGGGTTTGAGGCACCCGGTCTGCAGACTACGGACCTTGTGGTGAGTTCTTCGTGGGGCCAACTTAAATGGCAAATCTCTTCATATCGA